CCCCCATAAACCAAGATCACTAGTTCCCTCGGCAGGAAATGGTGCTTACTCTTCTGAGTCACTCAGTGTTTTGCTTTCTAAGAGGGGTCAATGTCCCACCAGTTTTGAAATTTCAGAATCAGGTGAGTGTCTCTTACGTAAATGTTCTCAATTTCCCTTTTCGAGTAAAGCTTTTAATACCAAAGCAGCACAAGCGAGGCAGTGCCCTGGATGGGCCGTTGTCATGCTGACAACTCAACAGGCCACCGAGCGTCTCCGGGGTTCCTTGATTCATCTTCGGGGGGACAATGCAGAGTAGAGTTTTCTCTCGGGGTGAGGAGGAAAGGTGAAGGGCATGGCGCTCCTTACTATCATCCGTAAAAAGGAAGCATTTACTGTCTATTTGATCCCGCGTCCTCCCCAAGGGAATGGGACGTGAGGCCAGAGTGAGTTCATGGAAAACACGGTGATTCCATTCTCTGAACTCCTCTCAGGCACAGACTGAAAGGACAGTGACTCAGCAACCATCCACAAGCAAAACACCTTCTACGACAAACGGGGAATTTTTACCTGCTGTAGAAGAAAACTTTTCATGCTTTACATGCCTCGATTTACATGCTTTAATCCATTTCTCAGAGGCCTGGCCATGTCCACACTCGCGGTCAGTGCTCTGCGTTGGAATGGAGATTGAAGATGGCTGTCTTGCCTTGGGAGACTGGAAAAGTCCAAAGAAAGAAAGACCCCAGTGTGAACCTAGCACACACACGTGCTAAAGCTTGTGCGGGCATCACCACCTTGAAGCGATCTTTCCCAAGCTTCCGACCTCACCCGAGGTGAGCACCGAGGCCCTAGAGGATCGCTGGGATTTCGCCCTCCATCCCCAGGACCAGCGTGACCCACACGTCCCTGAGCAGAGGCCCACGATGGTGTGTGCCTCGAGAAACCCTCTGCTGCACCCTTCCCGGACACTTAGCTTTAGTCTTCCTTGTGCACGACATCAAAACGGCAATGACATGTTCTGGTACCGGACCAGAAGTAATCGGCCTTTTGGTTGACAAGCAATTTTCTCTCTGAAGGGTCAGAGACGTCAAAGGGAACCAGGCCGGATTCGGAAGCACATTCTGCTCACATTTACCATAAACAAACTTTCCTTATTGACAGGATCACTGAAAGCCCTTTGGAAAGTTTATTTTGGGGATCAGGGTGATTTATTTCGCATGACTGCCTCCTGTATTCTAAATTGATGTAACTGACATTTGCTGCTAGACACTGCCAGTACTTTTCTTATTAATTAAATGACACCATGCACAGATGCGATGAAGCAGGGCCGACTTTGTCACCTTCTGTTTGCACCTGAGCAGAGAAGCCTGTGAGGCGAAGACAGTGCAGTGGGCAAGGGCTGGGTGGGGCCTGATCCAGGTCGGGGCACTGGAAGGCGGGCTGGAGCCTGCTCCCGGTCATGACTGACGGTGGGTTGCCCCAAAACGTCAGGAGCCCCGCACAGCTCAGGGCAGAAGGGCGAGTGCTCTCTCAGGCCTCTCCCTCAGCCTGCAGGGTACTTAGAGAATACGTTACCTCTTTAAATGTTCCAACACTGCCTGACAGCAAGTTGTGCGGTTCTCTTTATTTTGGTCCCCACACGTTTGTACAAACCTCACGGGAGGCAGTGAAGCCACACGCTCCCCCCAGAATGACTCCGCGTGACAGGGCCTAACCGCACTATGACCAGAGGCTGAGACTGGGAGCCAGTCCTTGGTGACGTTGTCTCACGTCATCGGCCACGGCACAGGAAGCTCACACACGTAGTGACTGAACACACTGCTTTGCTAGCAGGTCGAGTGGAATCAGACTCTGAGCTGGACCTGCTGTCTTAAATGTGTACGACTTCAGTCGTGTTCATTACTCTCTGCTATCCAGCTGTCTCGGTGAAGAAATGACTGAGGTAATAATCTGTAGAACACACACACACACACACACACACACACACACACACACACACGTTTGCAGTAGGCCGGCTTGATCCCCGTCCATTCGTTGCGTTACCTTGAGGGAGTGTCTCACGCTGTTCCTGAGTTCTTCCGACCGGCCTTGGACTTGCAGTTCCTTGGCTCGGCCTCCGCAGAAGCTGGGGCCACTTTGGGCATCACCACGCAGCTGCCATTGCTACCTTCTGGGAGACGCCTGTGCGCCTGTCCTTAGACGCTGCCACGCTTCCCGGTCCCGCTAACAACGCACAAGGCTTCCTGTCGCCCTGGTGCAGCCTGATGTGCGGTGCGCGCTTCCCTTCTCAAAACTGCAACATCTCAAGTAGGAAGAGCTGCTGCATGAGGACCTGCAGCTCGGGGAGGGAGCACTGAGACCAAAGCTCTGCAGGGCCACACCTCCCGCACCCATTCTGCCCTCACGGCCAGCACGGCGAGGTGGAAACCCCTCTTCCCTGGGCCCCTCCTGGTCCTTCGTAACAAGGTCTCCCCACTGCCCCGGCACCTGCTGGTTTCGGGTGAACTTGGCCACGTGTGTCACTCACAAGTCACGGCCTCCAACCCTCCGGTTGTCGCTAAGTGTTCCCCGGGGCCCCCTGGACCATCTGCACAGCACGTGGAATCTCACAGACCTTGAGTGGCTCTGCCTGTGCCTCCCGACCCCCGTCACCAGGCCCGGCCCCCCTTCACTGCTGGCCACCTGCCCTGTGTGTCCGCAGGCTCCGCAGCAGGGCGTGGGGAGGCCGGGTGGCCCTCTGGGCCTCTTCACAGCTGGCCTCCCGAACCTCAGGAGCGACCCTCCTGACTGACAGGCCAAACTAAGGACAAGATGATGCTGCCTCAGTGTAAGAGCCTGGTTGGACTTAAGAGGCCTTTGATCCCTTTATTAAGTTCGCTGGGCACCAGCAGATCACCGTCGTCACGTGATGGTGGCCAGACAGCCACGCTCTTCCTGCAGATCTTGTTCCAGGTAGGACGGCCCCCGAACTGCTTTCACCGTCACCACAGCACCACCAACATGCCTTCCGCCTTAGCGAGCACAGCTCCTGTGCCACTCACCCCGAGCCCCCATTCACCCAAGCAGCAGCTCAGTCAAAAGAGGCCAATCTGGGCTCTGCTCGTGGGCAGCTAGTCCCAGGGCCTTGAGCTCGGGAAGGGATGTGCATAACAACGCACAGCCCCTGGAGGACGGCCTGGGCAAGGGCCGCAGTGTCAGCACAGCCCGGGAGGGAGGGGATCGGCCCAGAGGGAGTCAGGCGGCAGTTCCCCCGGAGGAGACGAAAGCAGGACCTCCACAACCCGGCCACGTACAAAACAAAAGAAACAGCGGGGAAAGATGTTGAGAACTACAGGAGGAACTAAGCTCCCAGGAGACAGGACTTTCTGAGGGCCCCGTTTTCCTTGAAGGAGTGAGTGCTGGGGACAGAGCTTGACCAGAGGTCCTGGGGGTCGTCACCCTGCAGAAGAGCCGCCCCTCCTGGAATTCATGGGTCGGCAGAGTCACACGCCCTGAGCTGCTTCCTCCCGGATCATAGCACAGTGGGACACAGACAACTTCGTGTGCAGCTCTTAAAATCAAGCGTCCTTCGACTTGGCCAGGTGGTAACGTAAGAAAGGACTAAGATGACAAAATGATACCTGTTCTCCTCATTGAAGATTAGTTTGAGCTTCCTTTAAACAATACCCTCCTTTAATCGTCAAATCCATCCTGTCTTATATGCATTATTATTCAAACACTTGTACAATTATGAAAACTGAGTCATACAGATTGTGCCCCTTCTCTCAGGCACAACAACGCACCATGGTGGCTCTGACGTGAGCGAGCGACAGCCTCTCCACTGTCCTGCCCACTCCTGCGCTGCACACAGAGGTGTCCCAGGGACGGCCCCACCACCCTGGCTGCTGGAAATGGGGACCACTGGGGCCATTGCTGGACTCAAGAAAACCACTCTGAATCACTGGTTACATGATCTTAGGGTCCCCTGCGTGGACAAAAGTCTTCTTAGGGGCTCTCGGGCCTGCTTCCCCAGAATCCACGGGAATGTTTGAAACAGGAACGTGCCTGCGCTTCACTCCAGAACTTCGCTCCAGAGAGAGGCCTGGGAGCCACGGGATCGCACTTCTCAGACGAGTACTGTGTGCTGGGCTCTGACTCCGCTCTGGGATCCTCTCACCGACGCAGGTCATCTGGATGGGAGGAAACCCCTCCTACGCGTGGGGAGCAGCGGGGTGCACTGCAGCCACAGGGGCTGCCCTTGGCTTCCAGGACCAGTGGGAGACTGGAGCTCAAGACTCAAGACGAAGGGTGGCAGTAGGGGCGGCTTGTTCTCTTGTTCTTACTTCCTGCCCTCTCCTGCCCAGCAGGCTCGGCTGGGTGAGCGCCCAACACCGCTGAGGCTCTCCTCCCCCTGGCTCTGGATGGAGCTTGTTGGGAAGAGAACTGGAGCCGCTGCACCATCCTATGGGCTCCTTGCTGAAATGGGGCCGAATCACAGGTGCAGGAGGCTCTGCTTAGTGCTCAGAGACCCGGAACCTCGGCTCTACTGAAAACTGCACCCCAACAAAGGCTCAGGCTCTGAAGCCAGGCAAGAGAAAAGGGCTGCAATAGTAACTTCAACCCCCAAGTTCTGCAAAGGAGGAAAGCATTCAGCAGTGTTTCGTGTGCCTTAGTGGTGAGGCGGGTGGGGAGGGAAGGGCAGAGAGCCGTGGTCTGTGTAGGCAGGCAGGGTGGCCTTCAGGGCTGTGACAGTGGGGTCTTCCTATGCACCGGCTGTCCTACCCCCACCACTACCTCCTGCTGCCCTCCGGTGTGTCCTAGAGATGAGAGAAGCCACCTGTGCCTCTGAACTGAGGAGGAGGACAGAGGCCTGGTCGGGAAGGCCGAGGCTCCAGGAGTGGATTCTCCAGGAAGCTGAGCAGAGAGCTGGGCTCGGGCAGAGTTCCCGTGGGGCTGGGCCCAAGTCTGGATGGACGGAGGACACGGAGGCCTTGGCTCGGGAAGGAGGGCTGCCTGCCAGGCCTGGGACCCGCCACGTACCTGTGGGCTGGGCCAGGGAGGCTCACCAGGCATAAAGAGCCCGACGTTGCTCCATCCCCACAGGCTCCGGAGCCAGAGTCCAGCTCACTCCCAGTTGGACAGCTGACAGCTCAGAGCAGACCCGGCAGCATGAAGCTGTGCGTGCCTCTCCTGCTTGTGGCTCTAGGGCTTTGCTTCTATGAGGGTGAGTATCACTGCTGACCCGGCCAGCGCCAGCCCTGGTAAGTGCCCGGGTCTGAACGCGAGGGACAGCTGCTAGGGAGGATGAGATCCTGACCATTACTCTCACCCTGTGGTGCTGGTGAGTCAGCTCCCTGAGACACCAGGGCTCATTTCATGGACTTGCCCACACCTCCAGACCTTTATGGAGATCACCACGGGCAAACCTAGGAATTCAGCCCGGACCCTCGCTCCTTCAGGGCCGTCTGCTCCGTGGATGCGGCAGAAGGCGCCACGAGGCCCAGGAGTGACTCTGGGCTGGCCACCCATCCGCGTTGAGGCTGGAGATCCCATGTTCACCCCCGGGGTTGACCTTGTGTCAGGGCTTCTGCTTATAGCTGCCGTCCTCGGGGCACAACGACGTACACCAAGGGTACAGCTGTAGCTAGGAAGCTGCTCTCTGCGGTTACCGGGTGCTGTCTTCCCAGAGGCTTTGAGGCACCTGTCCGTCCCACAGCATCTTCACACTGAATTCAAACTCAGCATGCTCCGGGTAGAAGGATGTGTGGTGAGCGCCCAGTCTGAGGAGATGACGCCAGTGCGCTCTGAGTCTCTGCAGAGCAAGACTTCCAGTGAGGGCAGGGCCAGGCCCGTGCAGCGAGAGCTGAGCAGCGGAGCCCTGCTGCCCTCTGGCGCTGCCAGGCTGTGTGCGGGCTCCGGGATCGCCCCTCAGCTGTGCTCCTCCCAACTGAGCCACACCTGGCTTCCTGTCGCCAGCTCAGAGCCAGCCTCTCTGGGCTTTCTCTGTCTCTCCTTTGCCAGCGTGGCTCTGGTCGCTCTGTGCTCACTCTGCCCCCTCGCTCTCCAGACGCTGCCTGTGCTGGGCCAGGCCGGGCCATGCTGTCTGCTGCAGGTTCACGCTGCAGCCCGGCAGGGCGCCTCCTCCCCGGGGTGGCCTGCAGGAGGTTTTGTCCTTTGCGCAGCGCACACCAGCATTTCCCTGGCCTCCCGGACAGTCCCCACTGGCATCGGGAGCGAGTCCGCCTCTCCGCTCCTGACCCCTGGTGGATCGCACTCCCCTGCACAGCAGAGCTCACCTCAGCTCTCAGAGGTCAAAGCCAACGCCTCTCTGGTCGTTTCTGTGCTTGAGCCATGCCCTTACCCAAGGGCACACAGTAATTTCTTCAGCCTGATATCAAAATGTCACCCCTGCACATCTGAACGGCTCCATGCGCTCTCCCCCAGGTCGCTCTCACTACTCCATCCCTGGCCAGCCTGTGGCTGTGGACTTCAGAGTCAATGACAACTGCTGATCTGCACTGTCCAGCACCGGGAGGTGCAATCAATTGGCAGAGACGCCGTGTTGTTACATCTAGACCAGGGGGTTTCTGCAAAGCAGAGAGACTTGGAAGAGCAGGGAGTGTGCCTTTAAAAGGCACCAAAACTACGTGTGTGATGAGGAAGCCCGACCTTCAGTCCCAGCTCTGTCCCTGCTGTGTGGCTCTGAGCAAATCGTAATCCTCAGGTCTCACAGCTTCATCAGAACGATGATGGAGGAGAGCACGAAGTGCAGGGGTCCTGTGTGGTCTAAGTTCGGGAGCCCAAGGGGAACGCTTTTCCTGCACTCAAAATGTTGTGTTTGTTTCTCTTTGTTCCAGCCAATGCTGTTCCGTGTCCTGCGGTTTTAAAGGAAACGGTAGACTTCCTGATGTTGAGTAAGCCCTTTTATAAACTGAGTCTTGCCAAGTTCAACGCATCTGCCGAAGTCGTGGCCGCAAAGATGCTAGTGAAGGACTGCGTGGATGAGATGGACTTACTCTCCAGGACCGCTGTAGTAAACTCCCTGGTAATTTCTTTCTCTTTATCCATAAGGCTTCTGCCCAGACACACAGGCAGCAGGAAGGCTGGTCTGCTTGTCCGTGGGGACAAGCTGGGCCGCCTGCCTTGCTGCGCTGCTCTGCTCTGCACAGGGCGCCCCAGGGCCACAGAGAGCACACTAGGAGCTCGGTGCTGAACTCCACGCAGAGGCACACAGCACCCTGGGCAGGCTCCTCCTTCCCAGCACACCTCCCTGCACGATGTGCTCCTGCGGAGAGCACACATAGACGGCCAGGTCCAGGCAGGGCTGGTGCATGGCTGAGCCTCCTTCCTCCCCGTGGCTACTTTCGTGGGGTCACCGTCACTGGGAATCTGCGGGGAGTGTGGGGCGGTTGAGCTCTGTGCAGAGAGGAAGGAGGGGCTGGGGCCTGGGTCGGAGCCCGGTCCGCACGGGCTCCCTGCAGACCCACAGGGCTGGGACTCTCCTGACCACACTGCTGCCCACAGGTCTACCCAGCCCCGCCCTGCGTCTCGGACCTCCGCCCGGGGCAGAGCAGAGTAGATGCCAAGCCCTGGGGCGTCAGAGCACAGAACTCCTGGGCTGCTTCGCTCTCTGTTCCCTGACCCTCCCAAGCAGACCTGAGCCACACCTTGTGTCGCCGCAGGGTGTGCTTGGCTCACGAGGACCAGGCCGGTGCCCAACAGACAAGGTCTGATGGAGTCAGTCTGGCAGGTCACTTCCCCAGTCCCAGGCATACTCAACTTTTTAGTCTTTGCTCTTACATCGGCTTTGCTGGCAAACTTCATGAACCTCTTGGTCGAGTTAAAATGTCTTTTCCAGAAATTGCATAAGTGACCTCACCTTTCCTTCTTTCTCTCTTTTTGTTTAATTTCAGAACAAAGTTGCAGTCAGATGTATTTAGACCAAAAGCATCTCTTCTCCTGATGTGCTCATTTTTTCAGGATTCCCTGGTCTTTACTGGGAAATGTAAAGGTTTCAACGTCTTGCTTCAATAAATGTCTTGCCCTGCACATCTCCACTTCCTTTATTATTGTCCTGCCGTTTGGGTCTTACATTGAGGGGTTTTCAAGAAGAAGTGGCCTTTTGGGCTTGGTAACAACCAATTCCAGGTGGGACATCCTGCTAACAAAGGTGTCCTGAGGGCCCACATCGCCGAGGGAGCCTTGGTCAGGAACCCTCCTGCAGCGCCTTCACATTCCACTCCTGCACACCTGACTGATCTGCGATGCTCGAGACCGGCAAACACTGGCCTCCCCCAGGACCGCTGTGCTCACAGGAGTCTCTGCTTTTACCCTGCACTCACGTTGCCAGCGTCCGCCTAGGCGCCCTCCTCCCACATCTTCCGCGTTCACACCATCTTCAAATCTGTCACAGGGTCACATCCTGAAAAGCAGGCTATGGTGATGGCATGACCTTCGTTATCAGACAGCTGCAGTGGCTCTCCTTTTCTTGGAATAAAACTCAGTCAGAAATTAGAGTATGTAAGCTTGTGTCACAAGCAAATCTGCACAGCATTTCAAAATTAGTGTTTGTCCTTTTCCGGTCTGTGTTTCCTACATCGCTGTTCCGGGCACCCGACCAGGGTTTCTAACAGACGTAGAGACTAGGGGAAGAGAGAGGGAAAAAGTACACATAGCACAGCTGGGGCTGGGAGGCTTCTCCTCTCTATCTGTCTGAATCTGGGCAACATCCCGGGGTCATTTCTGCTCCCATTGTCCTAAGAGGAAAAGAAATAAGAAAGACAAACCCACTAATGCTCTAAATATGCAGGCCAGACCACGCGGGTGTTACACATTATGGCATGACCATTGGCAACCTTTTCCCCATGCCGGTCTCACTAAAAAGAAAGAAAGACAGACAGAATTAAAAGAATCACACCACAGTGATATATATGCACCCATGGTCATAGCGGCACAGTTTTAATAGCTACAACTTGGAAACAGCCCAATCGCCCATCCGTTGGAGACTGGATATATAAGATGTACTTTTTTCTATAAAATGGAACACTACTCAGCCATAAAGAATGAAAAACGAGGGTAATTCATAGGAAAATGGATGCATATTGAGGCCATATTCTTAAGTGAAATAAATAGGAAACACGTGTGTAAATATTGGATAGTTTCTCTGGTGTGAAAAAGTAAAAGTGCAAATAAGATCCAAATTGTATAAATGATAATGTGAAATAGGAAGAAAAGGGCTAAAGGTGTAGAGTGAATTGGTAGGGTAGGGGAAAGGAAATGAGGGGCAAGAAAAAATGTGAGAAAAGGAAAAAATGGAAACAAAGTCTTTGTAAATGGGGGAGGTCTTGGGGGGGGTGAAGGGAGGGCAGGGGTATGGGAGAAAAATGAGAACAAGGCCTGTCATGTAAAGGGATAAGACCCCAATGATGAATGTAACCGTGCTGTATACTCCAAAAGTACCAATAAACTCATTTTTTAAAAAGAGCCTAGGGCTGGGGATTTAGCTCAGTGGTTCGGTGGCCTGCCTTGCAAGCACAAGGACCTGAGTTCAATCCCTGGTACAAAAAAAAAAAAAAAAAAA